AGAATGGGATGGGGGCATGACAGTGCTCTGATAATTTTTCTCCTGGGTTTCCCAAATTTATAGCTATTTGTTTCCAAATAAATGCTTTGTTGCTTGCTTTTAATTGGAATTAATTAAACTTTCACCACTAGATTGAAGTCCCTAAAGACTTTGTCAGTGAAGATTAGAGAAATTTCTCTTTTTATATTTAAAAACCAGCAGAATGCATCACTAGGTTTTTTATTTTCAAAGTTGTTGAAGTTTTAGGGCATTAGAATAATTAATTTTATTTGCTTTAAAGTCATTCCTGAATGGAAAATTAAATTTGAAATAAAGTTTTCTAAATTCGTTACAGGGGGAAATGTAGATTATGCTTTTTTCTTTAATAATATATGTATACCACTGTTTTAGGTTCAGTACACAGTGTTTTAAAACTCAATATTGGCTTCTACTAAAAAATCTTCAGATTCAGGAGGGAAAAAAGCAAATTATAAGTAAGGTATTTTTAATATGTTATATATAATACATATATAATTATATTGTATAAAAGGGGCTAATTCAGTTAATTTAAGAAAATTTTGTGGGGGAAATATTTCACATGGCCTGCCAAAAGCTACATTCTTATTAAAACAGGTATGTTAGTTTGTTCCTGAAAAATCCACATCAAAAGAGCCTCTCTGTAAAATTATCTACATCTTAGAAACACTACGTCTTCCTTGAAAAGTCTGAGGAGTAGTACTTAAAGTAAGAATTATGGTGCCTTAATAACTGTTTCATGTTATGTCTGCTAACATTACCTCTACTCTTGTTTACCAACCACAGATGCAAAGGGTGTTACTAACTAGACCTTAAATAGTAATCACAAAGTCCTCAGAGCCAGGAAGGTGGGTAAACCTCCAGATCTGGCCACATACCTTTACGATCTTTGAGTGGGGAGGGGGTAATGAGCCTGCATAGATTCTTTCTCTCTCTCTTTTTTTTTTCTGTTTTTTTTTTTTTGACTTGACAAATTCTACCTTAGGTTTATTTGTACAAATACAAAAGGAGGATACCAGCCGCATACACTCCCCTAGGGGTCACACCAGTCCATTTCATTTGGCAGACAGAGCCTTCTATTCTGGAGCTTTTGTGGGTGTCTGGGTACCTCTGGGAGTTTGGCTGGAGCCAGAATTGGAGCTGGAGCTGGAACTGAAACTGGAGCTGAAGCTGCAGCTGCAGCCTGGGCCTTGCTTGGTTGGGGACTTGGCCTTGGACTTTGTCCAGCAGAGCCAGCTTAGCCATGTGGACACAAGCATAAGCATGCTTCCTGAGCTTGTGGCTGGTGCCTTTGGGGATCCTGAGCTTGACTTCTTTAAGTTTTATGTTTATGAGGGTCTTGATAGCCTCAGCAAGCACACTGATGACTTTGGCATTGTTGGCCTGTGTCTTCTTCAGGCCCTTCTTCTTGTACTTCTTGGCTAAGTGTGTGTTCCTCAGGAACTGGAGGTACACCTCCTTAAAAGATTCATATCTTTGGGCCGGCCCGTGGCTCACTCGCTAACTTAGTCCATTTAGGGTTAGATCTGTAATTGTCATTTAATAATAATGATGATTTATAACTAACATTTTATGAGTGCTTAAGATGTTCTAGGTCCCACATTCAGTACTTAATTACTATCACTTAAGAGCTGAGGAAATTTAGGCTTACAGATTATGCAACTAGCCCAAGATTACATGTCTAGTATTCAAATATACATCTGTCTGGCAATAAAGAACCATATTGCCTCTTCATCAAATATTTTATAATTTTGGGCCGGCCCTGTGGCTCACTCAGGAGAGTGTGGTGCTGATAACACCAAGGCCACGGGTTCGGATACCACATAGGGATGGCCGGTTCGCTCACTGGCTGAGTGTGGTGCTGACAATACCAAGTCAAGGGTTAAGATCCCCTTACCGATCATCTTTTAATTAGAAAAAAAAAAAAAAAAGATTCATATCTTCATAAGTGGGTTTTCTTGATGTCATTTCTGTGCCATTTTTGGGACTGATTTTTCACGGTGTCATTATTTGACTTGGCCATGTCTGCACTGTAGCCTTTGGCCACTGAAGCAACTGGGACCAGAAGAGAAAGCCAGAGTATTCTCAACATCACTTCAATACATTTATTAATACCTGTCAGGGCTACCATTTAGTCAGTGCCTACAGAGGCCAGGCACTGTACTGCAAGGTCTGTAGGGATGAGTTTATCTAATCCTTGGTGAATGTACTATGAGCCAGGCTTTGCAGATGAGGAAATACGCTGAAGTCACCCAGCCAGGTGTTGGTGATTAGAATTTTCAACTTGCTGGTTCCGGAAGCTCAGGCTTTCACTATCCTTTTCTGGTACCTTGTGGTGCATTCTACAAGTCCCTAGGTTATTAAGATTTGTAGTTTCTCTCCAGGAGGCTGACATCCATTTACTCACAGAATCCTCCTGCATTGACATCCACTTGGCAATGCAGGGGAAGGAAGAATGGCCTCCCGCCATCCTTCTGTGTTCTTTGGCTGAGCTACAAATTAAATTGACACAAGACAGATTAATAGGATGAAACCCCATTTTAATTAAAAATTAATTTTAAGCGTGGGAGTTTCACAAATCATGAGACTTGAAGAAAGGTAGGATAGTTGAAACTTATATAGCATCCCGAGCTACGGAAAGGAATAGGGGCTTGGGCATGGGACAGTGGTGACACCGTTATGGGAGGCTGAGGGAAGGAAATATATGGTGAATAAAGTTTGTCCTGTTTGGTATATAAAGAGTGTCTCAGGTGATAAAAGTTGTCTTTGAACAGCCCTCTTCCTAATACAGATACTTTTACTATGCAGATTTCCTTTATAGATGTAAATTTCTTATACAAAAGGACAGCTTTTCACAGCTACTCCTGTGTCTGCAGTTTCTCAGCATAACCAGCTTGAAATATGCCAAAGAAGGATTTTGGGGCGCTATATTCTGGTTTCCTACAGTCACATTTTGGGGTGGTGTGTTCTGAGCCCCAACAGCAAATAGAGCACAGGATTCAGGGTTAGGAGGCCTGTATCCTAGCAGCAGTTCTGCCCCTAACCCAGTGGTCTCCGGTGACGGTCCTCTGCATTCCTGAGTCGGTTTCCCTAAACAACGACCGGCTCAAACATCACCCCCAAGCTTCTGGGCTTTTCCTCGCGGCGCGGAAACTCTAGGTGCCCACCTGGTTTCCCTGGCCAGGAGTAGGGCCGAAGCGGAGTGACCGCTGCAGCGAACATGAAGCTCACTAGAAAGTCCCTGTGAGATCCTTGACTTATGATGAGTCACAGGTTGTCGCTGAGCAGGTTGCTGCTCTGGTCTGATTGGTTTACCTATTTCTGTTTTTGTTTTGAGTTAGAGCCAACTCTCCTCATTACTTTTCCTGGCTCTGAATAGGGTCTGCTCCATTATTTCTCTTCCTCTAAACGTCTGGATCTGAGATGCTGGAAGATCTTGCGCAGCTCATAATCCTAGAGCTGGTTCCCACGCAACTTTCCTCACAGTCTCCAACTCCTAAACTGCTCAGCAAGACACTCCTATGCCAAAGGCTCCTTCTGGAAACGAGTCCAGTTAAGGTCAAGCTTTGTTTCCCGCGCCAGGGGATGGGACACATGGATTTCAGCCCCGATTTTGCTTCTTCACCATTGCTATGAGGCTTCGGGCAAGTTATTTAACCTGTCTGGGCTTCAGCTGCCTCATTTCTAAAAAGGGCACAGTGATGTTATTTGAAATTTTAAAAAGGCTTGGCGCAAAATTCGCACTAGTAGAAATATCTTGATTCTTCTTGGGGAAGCGGCTGTGAGGAGAACGGATCTGGGTAGGGATAAAAACTAGGGGCGCTCTCCCTGCCTTCTGCACGGAACAGTTACTGGGTGCCCTCTCTTAAGAGAGGTCCGGTGAGAGGAAGCAGGGACGCAGGCTCAGTCCCTGGGCCGGGATGCACTCTCAGGCCGGGGGGAGAGGCTGGAAAATATAATATCCAGGGAAGCACAGAAAGGGATCCCACCGGATCCCCTAAAGAACAGTGGCAACAACAGGGCAGAAAAGCCAAGTGCCCAGGGATTCGAGGAAGCCTGGGCAGAGCGGACAGCCCCACATCGAAAGTTTTCTGGCAGATGACGGAGATTGAAGGATTTCAGGAACAGGGATCTGGTGGATAAGCCAAGTGCCCAGGGATTCGAGGAAGCCTGGGCAGAGCGGACAGCCCCAAATCGAAAGTTTTCTGGCAGATGACGGAGATTGAAGGATTTCAGGAACAGGGATCTGGTGGATGTCCCAGTTGGCCCAAGACATAGCGCAGACGAGCCCCCGGCGGTCCCCACTGCGCCGGATCAGTGCGGGAAACTCGGGAATCGCTCACTAAGGACCCTACCTCACTGGTGATGGCAACCAGCTCTTTCTCCCGAGCCCGGGGCGGAGGCGCGCAGCACCTTCCTCCGCGTAGGACCGAGCGCAGCCAGGCCTGTGGGCGGACGTGGGGGCCGAAGCCCCACGGGGAAGGACCGCCGCCG